TTTAAATTTTCATTTTGCCTATTTATAATTATCTTTTTTGAGTTTTTTAATTATTAATTAACTATAATTAAAAAATCTTTATAATTATATCTCTTTTTAATTATTCAATTTTGCTTTTTTAAATGTAATAACTATAGAAAGATCTAACTATAAATCAAAAAAACTAATTAATCAAGCAAGTTTTTAATTATAAATTAAAAATACTTTATAAAAAGAAGAATTTATTATATCATTATCTATAGTGATCATTATAAATATTCAAAATTATATGATAAAGTACAAATAGAATTACTTGAAAATCTGCAAATATATGCTTTCAATATAAAGAATAAAGTTACTTAAGATATATTAATATAATATCTTATTAAAAATATCATTAATTTTAAAAAACTAAAAATAATTATAAATATAACTAGCTTTTATTGATTATTTAATAAAAAAAATCAGAATTATGTCAAAATTTATAAACATATTCTTTATAATATAATGAATAACTTTGTCTTAACAAAATTTATTGAAAAAAAAAGTCAGATCCAACAAAAATTGAATTTAAATTATTAAAAATAATATTAAGTAATTCTATTATTTTATTATAGATAAAGTGCATTAATAAAAAAGATGTGCCTAATTATCAGGTAATTTTCATTATTTTATGCCACGATATCATAATGACCACTATACATGACCACTATACATGAATGCAATCAATCAATCATTTTTCAAAATTATTCTAATTAAAATTATTCTTGTTATATATTGAAAATAGAACTTATTTTGAAATCGCAATGAATTAAGAATAAAATAAAAACATAACTATAGGCATCATCACATAAGTATATTCTTCCACAGTCATCTGAAAACACTAACTTTTGTAATTATTCTGTCTTATTCTTTGATCATGCCCTTCCTTTTTATCTAATCATTTCTCGCATATTACTTTTAAACATCAGTGTCCCAGTTGCTCTTCTTTATTATATTGTCGATAATCCTTATCTCTGATCTCTATCCATTACTAATTGAGTATTCGTTTTTAGCTTGATTCTTATATTGTAAGCTACAACATATTAGCGCAGTCCGAATCTATGCTGATTAGTTTGCGTAATGATTTTTAATTTCTTTCCGTTATAGAGGTCATTTATACATAAATGGTTTTATTGTGTATATGTGTAAGATATTCATTTTTCTTAAAATCTCACATTATACGATAACGACTGCGTAAAGATAATAGAAATTAGACAAAAACAATAAACATCATTTATTTCCTTCATGAAAAACAATGTAAATTTTGATAGTGGTTACGATGATAAATGCACCACTTTTATTTTGTTGTAAAATCAGCTAAAGTTAATATCTAAACTCTATGGTTTCTTCGATTTCGTGCGGTATAATAATATCAAAATCTGTTTTTTATCAGCAAAGAAAATAATGAAATTAATGAATTAAAGAAATTGATGAAAACAATATCAAATGCAAATTTTACCGTCATTTGGAAAATACCTAAATATACATGTATTTAAATTAATCCGAAATGTCATTTTGATTGAATATAAAACAAAATGTGCGTACCTGTATCAGTTATAATTGATATTAACTTTGAAGTAAAGATTCGACTCGTGTAAATTGCATTCGAGTGGATTTGTTGCTTTTTGTTTATATTTCTAGGAATGCTTTTTTGTGATTTCATCTCCTCGTCAAGTTCTTTCCATTTCTTTCTCTCTAGTTTGAGACATTCTTTAATTTCTTTATCTGTTTTAGGACATTCTAAAGAGCTGTAATATTGAAAATGTAAAGAATTCGGTTATACCACCAGCCATAGTTTTCATTCTGATAGAGTCAATAAAGTCTTCAAGTTCCTCAGCAGTTGGTCTGTTTTTTGGCATAGGATCCCAACATTTTTCAATAATAAATTTGCATCATCCGGGAATATTATTTGGTATTGTAGGTCGTACTCCTTTGCAAGGTATTCAACGTTAGTAAATCTTTCAAAAGGAATATATTTGCATAATTATAGTTAATTTTGTTTGATTCTTTTATTAGATTGTCGATATCTTTATCCAATTCATCGTTATACATTCGTTTGTGATATTTTGAAACAGTCATCGCAGGAATGATTATTTTGACAACGAGTACATTTACTACAATCATGAGTATTGTGAATTAAACGCTAATCGCAGCATCTATTCTCTTGACATTCAGTACATTCATTACACTGATGAGTATTTGATTCCATCTTTGACTTCACTGGAATAAAATGGGTAAACGACAGTAAAACAAACAATAATCATTGTCGTTATGCGGTGTAGTGATGCAAATTCTATGTGTGACAAAACAAACTCGTGTGTCATATTTTGAGTCTTATCATTACGTAATTATTCACGAATAAGCTGCAATTCGTTTTTGCAGTGATCCAGTATCTTATCATATTCTTAAAGAATTCAATTAGCGTTAGTAATAATATCGATATTGTAATAATACTGATTATCTAAATAATCGCTTGCGACATTTAGAAATAATATCTCACAAATAAAATACAATTATTATGGGATGTCGTTTCGGGTTTATGAATTGTCGGGATTGTAGTTATCGGGGTATTGGGACATCACCGTAAGTTCTCTCCTTTATCTAAATGCAATAGTACGCAAGTACATGACATGATTGCTTCATCTTACGATTTGCTTCTGGGATTAACGCTGTGACGATTGATGAATTGGCGAAACCTATAATTGACAATACTATCCTCTAATAAACGAGCCGTTAGGATTAAAATAATCCTAGAGCCGATTGACTTACTTAAGAAGATTAGTACTACTTTTCGTGCGAAGTTACGAATCATGTGATTTTTAAGGGTAAACCAATCAAATCGTAAAATATAATTCATAACCAGATTGATCATGCGCAGTTGTGTGAAACACATAAAATTATATAATTAGTGACCCCGAATCAAAAAAAAACATTTATATATTTTCAAAAATTTATTCCATTAATACATACATACATGAATATTTTAATCGAAGGTACAGCAAGTGGAGATCCAGACCTTCACATTGCTGACACGATGGGGTTAGAAGCTTTAGAGGATGAAATGGAAGAACGTGGTGAAGACCCAGTTTCTGACGGTGAGTAGAAATTTGTTGACGCGAAAGTGAGTTTCATTGTTAGTCTCTACGATTGAGAAGTCGTGTTGAGTGATTTTAGGAGATTTATCACTATCGCTTACCATGCCTAGACGGATGTAATTGCCTTAATAGGAGAACATAATCACAACCATCAACCGGTAACAACCACGACGGTAGAAATCAATAAACCACCTAGAAAAAAGACAGCAGCCTCCTCAAAGTTGAATCAAGCAGCCGAAATCAACGAAAAAATGCTGAGAATGGAGGCGGAATTAGAGTCATGCAAGGAAAAGTATGTATAATTGCAGCTCTAGAGTAAGGAAGCATTCTTTATTAGTACTAAATACGATCACATAATAATTTAGACTCTATCAAGAATATATGAACGAGATCATAAATGAGATGAAAGGAATTCAGGATGGTATAATTATTAAAGATTAGAAACTAGTTTCACTTGTTTTTTCTTTTTTTCAAATGTTTTGATGCTTAGATAATTAATTTGATAGGCACAAGCCCAGAATATGAAGAACGATTACAGATGCTCATTGAAGAGCGAGATGCTACCATATTTAGAGCCAACACGTATCGAGAATATTTGATTGAAATTTCTGAGAGAATTTTTGATGAAGAAGTAGCACAAGCCGAACAAGATTATGAGGTATAATAATTGCGATACCTTCTTAAGTTACAAACCATTTATACTGAATAATTATACCATTTTAGCGTGAACGACAAGACTTGATAGAAAAGCTTTTGGCTGATGTTGAAGATAGACGAAGAAGATTAAAGGAGGAACAAGCCAATTACGATTTAATGCATGGTAAATATTTACATTCATCCGAATGTACTTCATTTTTTTTCTTTTTTTTTAAATATTAATGGAATCAATAAAAATTATAGATTCGACTTTCGAAGCAAGCACAAGACAAAATTCACGTAAATTACGAGAACGAATTGGCATCAAGGAGGTTGAGCCAAAACCAAAACGACCAAAAGCATCGTCCGATATCCTTTAATCTCTTCATTTTCATTTTCATTTAACCTAAAGCAATATTTTATAGTTTTTCTTTAACATTCAAATTTATCTTTGCTTTCACGTCCCACTCCTAGCGTAAAAGTCGCACATGATGAATACATTAGTGACTTGGCCGAAATGTGGGATGTAAGTACCATCAATTTTATTTCCGTTTATAGATGTATACCATTAATAATTTGTTTTTTTTATCTCAGGATCCTTTGAATCCCTCAAAGAAATCTGCATCATCTCACAAGAAAAAGAATGCTTAGCTAATAAGATACTATGATTACGATTATAACTAACCATCTTATTCAACATCAACGACGGCGACGACATCTTCAATAATAATTATACGAGAAAAGCTTCTGGGTTTTTTGATTCAACATTATTCACTAATACCTTCGATTTAACCGCTTTATCCTCCCCTATTGGATCATCACGAGATATGACTAGACATTCGGAAAGGAGAATTTGTACACTAGGCAACTAGAAATTATATCTTTATCTTTATTTTCTCGAAATAAGAACTTTAGGTTTGTGGAAGTCTAAAAACAAAGCTCTTAATATAAAATGATGAATGAAAATTTTTTTCGTGTATTCATATTCAAACACATCAACGAATTTCACGAGCTAGAAAAGTGCTTCTTCAATTTTTTATCATGATGACTTCGACTAGAGGGCAATTATGATTTTTCAATCTGTTTATCGAGGTGGTTGATTGACTTGATGGTATAGATTTATAAAATATTACGCAACCTTTCCTATGAATATTAAAGAAAAAACGATGTGAATAACTATTAAATTGGGACCAGTTAAATAAGCGTTAAAAAGTTCGAAAATACAACCCTATGTAGTTTAGATGACGTGAAAATCGATTCATATGTACCTCCGTCATTTTTGTTGTTGAATTCCAATAGGGATCATAATCTCATGATAAGATCTTTTTGGAAGTCAACGTTAATGTTAACGATTTGCTTCGTTTACATTATTTGCAGTGAGGTCGTGTGTAGTTTAACTTCATCCAATTTCCTAGCATCAAATACGACCCTACAATCGAATACTAAAGCTGAGAGAATAAGATTCTTTTCCAGAAGAATTTCATTAGACTTAAAAATAGACATTCACAATATTTAGTAGATCTTTAGTAGAATAAATACAGATGATTCTATTTAAGTAAACAGTCTCGTATGTTGATCTATTCAAACACAATAAATTTTTGGATTTTTTAAATTAATTTTTTATTAAGAGCACACAGAATTAGGAGGGAACTATTCTATCAATTAGAATTATTCTAAGGAAACAATTATTCTTCTATTGTTACCATGATGGTTATAGCTATTAGAAGCGAGCAAAATTAAAAGTTACTAAATTTCAAGGAACTGAGAACAAATAATTTAACTAAATGAGCGGAATGATTTTTTATAAATAGCCGAATAAATAAATCTATAGAAAAAAGAGATCAATCTTCTTTGTATAGATAAGAAGTTTTAGAATTATTAAAAGTCCATTGTTGATCCAAGTCTCTACCTTGGAGACAAAGTAACAATAAAAGAAAATATGAAACAAGAGTCCGTTTTTTTGATATGTACGAAAAAGGAAATCCTTCCAACACCGCTTAGTTAATCACTTGATTCCAGGTGGGATCACACTCAATTTTAACTTCCGAAACATAAGTTCTCGGGTTAGATTTCTGTGATTTCCAGTCAATCGGACCGTTGGCCCAGTCAGCGGTCCCTGGAGCGCCACTACCATCCCAAATACCGAGTTGAATATGACTTGGACGATTTGGGAATTCAGCAGTTCCGTTGACTACTGTATCTGCTTTATTCAAGGTACGAACCGGGTTGCCGTTAATTAACCAAGTGATTGCGTCGGGAGTCCAGTTGAGAGTGTAGGTATTGAATGTTTCAGAAATTCCTGGTGGGGGAACGGTGTGATTGCCTCCGTGTACACCCCATAGGATAACTCCGTTCCAATACCAATTCGATTGTGCGTGAAGCGTGTCATTGCCGACGAGTTCCCAATCGATTTCATCGCCTTCTGGTGACATGGTCTAAAAAATATATATTAAATTAGCTTTGATTATTATCATTGACGATCGGCTTAAAAAAAGCAGTAAAAGTAAAAATACATACAATGTAAGCAGTGACGACACCACCAATAGGACTAGCCTTGATTTTTGCTGAGACTGTACCGTAATGCATAAGATAAGTGGAATTCAATGTCAAACCGTAGCCCAATTGCGAATTATATGGATGATACGAAGTGGTGATTGTTTCATAGGACGATGGGGGGTTCAAGATCATATTCAATTGTCCGCCGTCCAATGAGTAAGTGCTTGTTGTTCCGGATAAATTAATCCATTCCGCGGTCTTTGGGTCATTATTATAATCCTGGGCTTCAACAATCCTGGTGTTCGAGAAAGTGTCGGTATAAGAACGGCAAATATTTTTACCATTAGCCGCGGTTGCTGGAGTCGGGGAAGCGACACTGCTGGCAGAAGTTGGTTGTGGAATTCCTTGCACAGCGGGTTGAGCTACTGGAGTGGGCTGTTGATTGGGTTGTTGATTGGGTTGTTGGTTGGGTTGTTGGTTGGGTTGTTGGTTGGGTTGTTGGTTGGGTTGTTGGTTGGGTTGTTGGTAGGGTTGTTGGTTGGGTTGTTGGTAGGGTTGTTGGTTGGGTTGCTTTTTGGGTTTTTTGTAAGGTTTACCTCTTTTTGGAGCGACAACCTTGTGATGGTGCTGAGATTTTGGCACATGACTATGGCCCTTGATCTTTTTTGGGACTTTTGAATGGGATTTACGATGACCAAGAACTTCACCCGCTACTAACAACACTAGTACCAGTAGTATACTGAATTTTATTAGGCGCGCCATTTTGATGCGACGACAACTAGAATGCGAATTAAAGGAAAATCTATGTATATCAAAAAACGGACTTTTTAGAATGTGAGGGAAGGAGGGAAAAAGAAGGGAAGGTTTATGTTGATGACGATTTGAGGATAATGAGAAAGGATGATGGAGAGAAAAGAGAAAAGGCAGCGTTTTATATAGTAAAATCTGCTTATATTCTTTTTTTTGGTTGGATATAAATTATGCATTTTGCATATAAACAAATAAATGTATTGTTCGTTGTTCCTTGCATAATTCTTCTTCCTCAAAATTGTGTTCAAACTAATGAAGACGCGTGGTTTTGTCTATGCTATTTCATGTATGTCTTATTAATACATACATGTATTTTTAATTCTTTTTATATGTATTTAGTATAGTGATTTTTTTGTGTGAGGATAATCATTTTTTTTATGTTTATATTAACTAATATATTGTTTGCATGTTTTGGAATATTTGGAATCGTAATTATGGTTATTACTTTTATGGGAATTTTAAAGGCCGTTTCTGGCGCTCGTCACCGCCGCCGTGGTTGTTAACGATGAACCAGTATTATTTACTCGCGAAAATTTTTTTTATAACAGAATAGAATTCGTTTAATTAACTGGCTATTTCAACACCTATTAATACATTACACTAATACTTTTACACTAATAATTGACAAAGATTTCGTGATGTCGGATGTTGATTATTGTTAACGGCGTATCTATGTATATTATGCGTCTGTGCATATATGCGTATCGGATATATATATATATGCATGCATTTATTTTTCCAATATGTCGAATACGAACTCAGGATTTAAAGGAATCCGTAATTTGTCTTTTTACTTGTTAATTAACAATAACGAGATTTTCATTTCTGGGATCGTGTTAACGCGTAATCAAAATTGCCAAGAGAAAAATTCAATTAACATAATTTAATGTTGAATGAAAAGTTGCCAAGAGAAAAAATTTGTAAAGTTCTACAATGTAGAGGAAAAAATAGTGATTAGAGTTTTACTCGCACAAATTTAACAATCAAAGCGGTGGTTCATTGAAGTAAATAAACAAATTTTCTCGTGGGCTTTTCGATCATTTCAACAGATTATTAATTGCAAATGACCCACGTCGCTGTTCCCGAATCGAGATGTATGTATTAATTTTTTGTTTTGGGTTACAAATTGATTGATTCGATCAAGTAAATCCTCCAAAAGAATCTATTAGTTTTCGAGGTCGACCATTGAAGAATTAACCAACCATTAATGAGACTAAAAATAGAACAGCGAAGTTATTTTTATTCCTATGGGGATTATTGGATATTAGGTGGAAATTGTATGCACCGATATCATCCGGGTGGATAAATATATGCATTCTTCCAATTCGTACGTTTCACCTGAAACTCCATCTTACGTTGAGCAGGCATACATTAATTTTTTTTTCAAAACAAAAATTCATGTTTGGCGTGCATTTAATAAAGTTTGTAAAGATTAAAAACGATAACTCTAATAAAGAGAACGAATTATAAATTGATAAATTACCAAATACAGGAAGTTTCAAGAGTAAAAAAGTTTGGGGGATTAATTAATAATGAAGATCAATTACAATTAGTATAACTGCATTTCCCATGCTTCATTTGTCATCTAAAAAAGTATACAGTCCGCAGGTTTGAATGCAATCTGACATGTTAAAAAATTTTAAGAACTAGTTCGTTATTTTAATGTTCTTTTTACAATATAACGATCCCCTTATGTAGCCATATTAGGTTATGGCGAACTTTGAAAATTTCCCGACTACAAAAAAGCATTCGTCTATGACGATTTTTATTTAACGCTCACGATAACGATTTTTTTTATACTGTACAATTCTTTAAGCTGATCATTTTCCATCATGAGTCAAAGTGATCGGGCATTGACATGGAAGGAAAATGTGCGGACTATAACAGAGAAATAATGAAAATTGATTTGAATAACGCTGAATTGTGTGTGTACTCATAATCTTGCAATTGGATTTGTATTGTATTTGATAGATCTCCGCCCAGCCAATCAAAATGATTAAATTTTGATTTATTTCCTGACGAAAGTTTCGACTTTCCAATTTGCGTGCTAAATCATTAGAAATGGCTTGTACCGAAGAGTAAATTTTTCTTTTTTAAGTATAATTTGTAAAAAATTATAAAACCAAAGAAGCAATGAATATTTTGTCAACTAAAAAAGTAAACCACATTATTATTCTCGCTAATCAGGAAGAAAATACATAAAAAATAATACATGTTCTTTCGTAAGCTCACGCGTTTTAGCGAGTTATTTCCTTGTAAATGGCATTGGGTAACGAAGACTTCGCAACTTCCATCAGCAAAGAATAAACAAGTATCGGCGGGAAATGTTTATTAGTACACTATTTTTTTTATAAATAAAAAAAAGTACATGAATTTTAAGAGGATGCTCGCAATATGTACTCGGTTTGGGTCGAAAACTATATCAACTAGTTTGTGGTGTGTCCCAATTTGTTCTTGCTCACGCCTGTTTTTTATTTCTACGTGTACGGGAGGGAGAAAAGGGAACTTCTTTTCTAAATAATCGACCTTATACATAGACCACGAGTGGCATTCTGGATTCTATGCTTAATTATAAAATAATAGTTTTTCGTAAATTAAATCAAAGGCTTATCGCTAAGCGACTTGATTATTTTTTGTATAGATAAGACGCATGCCTTAGCTTTTATATTGGTTATGGAACAGAACGGAGCCATTTGGTCCCATGTTCTAGCGAAGGCATTTCGTTTGTTCTGCAAAAATATAATCTAGTTGCTTAGCATAGATAATCTCTTTATTAAGCTGTCGATAATCTAATTTTTCCAGTCTTGTCCTCATACTGTTCCCGGTGATCCACTAAAGCCGGGTAGTATCATGTGATTTTGGATTCAATACGGATCCAGATCATGTGAAAAATACACGTGATAAGTAATGATTGGCTGAATAATTTTGATCAACAGACAATCATAATAATAATATAAAAAATAAAGCTTATAAAGATCAGAATAAAGCTCATTTATTTTTTTGTGAAAAATAATAGTAATTATAGAATTAATTGACTTGTAAAATAATAAATTATTATATTATAATTTTAAAAATTAAATTTAATAACTTATTCAAATATATAATAAATACTTTAATAGTATTATTATCATCTTTATGATACTTATATATTTTAAAACTAATCTGTGAATATTTATTAAAATTTTTTTTAAATATTAATTATTAGTAATTTATTAGAATCAAAAATATATTCATGAAGAATATATTAATAAGAAAGTAAATAATGATGAAAGAATAAATAAGAATATATTAATGATATTAGACTTGATAACAGCTTTTCTTTCATGATTCTTATATTTATAATGATAATTTTATTTATAATTAGCTTTTGAATAAAATAAAAAAATTTGCAACTTTTTCAAAATTTCATCATTAAGATTAATTATAAAAATCCATTTTTAATAAAAATTAAAGATAGTTTTTTCAGAGTCAAGTTATCTTTTACTATCAAGATTAATGATCTTATAATATATTTTTAATATAATATAAGTATTGATAAGTAAAGAATTATAATAAAAATATTATAAAATAAGTGTAATATCTATAAGATTAAACTTTTTAATTATTATTCTTTTAAACTTACTATAAAAAAACTTTAATAAATTAGTTAAGATAACTTATAATAAATACTATCACATTCAGAATATTTATTTTTTCATATTTTTAACATAATTTTAATTAATATAATTGATGATATTAAATATAAGACAAGTAATAATAATATTATAAATGATCTTTTTATAGCTAATTTTTATTTTTTTATATATAGTCAAGACTAATTAATTGTATATTACTAAATGATAGATCTTATATAACTATATATATATCATATATATAGTAGCAATCATAAGTATCCTACTGGTTGTATCACTTAAACGTACATAATAATAACTCCTTAAATTTTCCAGGTAAAAGATATATGACAATGCCTGATCACACATAAAATTTCAGCTTGAGTGGATGTTATCAGCAAATTTTTTAAATATCAGATATTTTGCATTAGACTATACTATACTCTCTATATGATGCTAATTATAAAACTTCAAAAATTCATATCTCGACACTTTTCTAATAAAATTTTATATTCTTTTTTTTCTCTTTTATTCTTTGAATCAGTTATAATTATGCTTAGAATCTATAGGTAAATTATAGCATGATCACTATTATAAAATACAAATAAGCATATAATATGATAACTCTAAAAGTTATAATGTTCAGTTATTTCCTTTTATAGTAATAGTCATTTCATAATTTGACTAGATATTCTAAAAATTATATAGAGATGGCTTTGATAAGCAAAAAAAAAAAGAATTATGGAAATCAATTAGAAATATGTGAAGATATGAATTTTTGAAGTTTTAAGTTTGAAATAAGCAAATGTAATTTTAATATATTTTCATATATTTTCATATATTTTCAAAGCAAAATATCTAATATTTGGAAAATTTGCTAGCAGAATCCACTTGAGCTGAAATTTTATATATGATCAGATATTGTCATATACTTTTTGCCTGAAAATTTAAGAAGTTATTATTATATACGTTTAAGTAATATAACTGATAGGATACTTATGATCACTACTATATTATATAAAGAATTATATCACAATTTTATTTATCACATATAATTTCTAAAAAGTATTCATAATATTATTAATTTTTATATTACTTTAATTAGAGAATATATATCAAGAATATCAATAAAATATAAGTCTATAAATTATCTTTAGTATTTTAATTATCATACAACTATCTTTATTACTATTAAAAAATAAATATTAATATTTCAGTATCTGTAATTATTATAAATATATAGTATTATTATCTTTTTGATGTGAGTTCTGAAGTGAGGATGAGTATTAAATCTAATATTATAAAAGCACGTGATAAAAGTGACCACGTACTTAAAGTGAT